GCCCAAAGTATTCAGCAGACTTTTCCATAAAGTAGGAAATTTCAAAGACAGCTCCACTTATATTGGCAGTTTGCCAGTACTTTCTTCTGTGTCCTTCAGAATGTCTAGCAGACTCTTTCATGAAGCAGAAACCCTGAAGGATGCTCTCACCTACAGGCAAGTTCAGCAGTCATTTCTCTGTGGGTCCTGCATGTCCAGTTCATCAAGCAGTCCAGGCAAGAGCAGTTTCTTGACAAATGGTCAGCCAACTCCATAAGGAGCCTCTTCGATGCCCATCATCTTCTTGAAGCTATTGGTACTGCCAGAAGCAGATGTGTCTCATTGCCATGAAAAATCCCAAGTTATTAAAACATTTTAAATGCCCTATTCTGTAGTCTTTGAAAGGTGTGAAGAATGCCTATTCATCTGAAATGCATCTCTGTGTTTGGCAGCAGGAATCCGCCATGCTCTCCTACTTGTGGTGCACACCTAGTAGACCTGATCCTGCCACCTGCCCAGGTGGGGGATGCTGAGCTGGTCTTTCCTCCCAACTCTGAGTGGGCACACGAAAACCTAGGCCCACAAATGCCATCCAAATACTCCATAGTCAGAGTTTGGGCTGGCAGCATGGCCCAGGAAGCTGTCTTTTTAAAAAGGCATGGCTTTTTTCTGCTACCAGTGAATCAGAAAAACTTCCCTCAAGAGAGCTTCAGCACACCACCAGCTGAAAAAAATTGACGCTAAACGTTGTTTTTTCTGTGTCTAGAATTTTTTTTCAAGCTTTTTTTGGGGGGGGGGTTACATGGATTTAGTCCACCACATAGACACGCCAAATGTAGTGGGAATATGCTTGTTGGTGCCCAGCAGCCCAGCTAGCTCAGACCTGAAATAATCACATAGAAACTGTATTAATGAAATCACTGCTTGGCCCATTAGCTCTAGCTTCTTATTGGCTAACTCTTACATCTTAATTTAACTCATTTCTAGTAATCTGTGTATCACCATGTGGCTGTGGCTTACAGGCTAAAGTTCTCAGCATCTATCCTGCTGCTCCATGGCTTCTCTCTTGCTTCCAGCTCTCTTTTCTGGCTGCAGTATTCAGTTGCGGTTCCCTGTTCCAGCAGAGGATCGTGATGAGTCTACCCCTAAATAAATAACCCTTTATCATTCATAATTCTGAACTGGTGTGGGATTATTTTGTGACTTCTGCCTTCACAGCTCTGGTGAGTAGGATATATGCTAAGGTGTCGGCATGTGGCAAAGGCCTTCTTCTGTCACCACATGGTGGAAAACAGAGAGAAAATACCACAAGGGACGAAGGGGCCCGAGAGTCATTATTACCCATAATATTAATCTGCTCACAAAGTACTTTGCTTCCACAACATAAGCACCATTAGTCCCCACCTCCCAACACCATAATGTTGGAGATCAAGTTTCCAATTGCTGAAGTTGCACGATACTAATGTAGTTCTTATTTGCAGCAACGTTTGCTAATCTTATTGTGGTTTTCTTTCTTAATTAAAAATATTTTTCCCATCTTGTTCACAACAGCTAGGTGTAACATGAAGTACTGGGTGATAAAGGTGATTCTGTAAAAATCAGCCTTCAGAATACTGAACAATACTTTACAGAAAGGATAAATGGGAAGATGTGTTTTAAAGTGTCCTTTATAGTTAGCTCCTCCACTTGCAGGAAACTGTGAGAAGGATATCCTGAGGGTTTGTAGTAGGGAATATTTTCCCGAATTTGCATCTGAGCACAGGACTGACCCAATCTCTGGCTTGACAGCTCATTTAAATTGAAATGCAGCCAGTGCTGCACTTCCTGCCCCACTACCTTTCCTCTGGCTCTCATCTCCTCTGATGTTTATTTATGTAACAGTGAATGTAAGGATCTGGCTGTGTCTTCCTGACTCCAGCTTAGACATGCCTGGGCCGGTCATTACAGTGCCGGTTTCAACACTAACCCTTGAGCAGCAAAGACCTTAACAATGCACAGTATGCCTGAAGTGCTGATTTTTTCCCCCTTTTTTCCTTTCTCTTGCAACTAGCAGACTTTGAAGTGGACAGTCTGGCTTAATGTTTATATAGTAAGTAGGCCAGGCCAATGCCAAGTTCTAAAGACCTGGAATGAGAAATCATCCTGACTTGAGCATCTCCATTTAGGCAGAGTTACTACTTCTTTTTTCACAGCATTCCAAACTTTGACAGTTTGTGCAATGGTTTATGTAATTATCTTCTATTCTTTCTTTTAAAAGATAAGCCAACTGGGAACTATTTAGTGAACCATTGTTGTGCGACTGAGATGTAACACATGTGTAGCATGCACGAAGCCTCTCGTTTACTCCTTAGACAACTCTCAATAAATTCATACAGAAAACTTGATAGTAAACACATTAATAGTTTACTTGGAAAGAATTATGTTGCTGTATTGTCATTAATCACAGTGAGCAATGCTGGCAGAATGCAGCCTTTCACCTTGCAGTTTGTTTTCTTTCTTTAAAATTAATAAACTTCCTTTTCCAGAATAACTTTAGATTTACAAATAAGATGGAAGCACAAAGGTAGACCTTGAGTCAGTAGCCTGTAATTTCTGGTCTAAGAGGCTAAGACAGGGGATGGGGAGTTTAAGGTTTCCCTGGGATACAGGGCTTTGATGCCCGGCATTAATAACATAGTGAGATCCTGTCTCAAAAATCTAACAAAAGGGTGCATAGTTCTTGTCTGGTATGTACAAAACACTGAGGTCAGTACTCAGCTATAGACAGACAAACAGACAGACAGACAGACAGACAGTCATGGGGGGGCAAATGGAGGAGGAGAAAAAGAAACAAGACAGTAAAAGAAAACCACAGATTCTTTGTTAGTTCTCTGTCAAAATCTTTCACATCATCACCTTGCACTATTTGTGTGGTACAGCTATTGAACTGAAAACCAGTCTAGATGGGTTGTTGCCAACTAGAACACACCACTTTATGTTGTATCCTGTAGGTTTTGGCAAATGCACACTCTCATAAATTTACCATTATAGCATTATACAGAATTGGTCATCACCTCTAAAATACCCTATGTTACTGTACTTCTTAACACACCCTTCCCCTGTTCTTCTGAACTTTTGCTAGCTAAGTTATTATTTAAGTTCTCCTATATTTTAGCCATTTCCAGAATTATACACAGTTGGGATCATAGAGTCTGTGGCCTTTTTAAGCTATCTTCTTTTGTTGTTCAGCAACTGGAACTGCTTGCCTTGCCAACACGTGTTTTTCCTTTTGTCCCTAAGTTGTATTCAATTGTATGACAGATTAGTTTACTTGTGTACTTTTGAAAAAATAAGGGAAATCAATGTAAGATTTTTTTAACACATCATTTTTTTAAGGTTTTGAGAAAAAATGTGAAATACCATTGAACACAACAATCTGAGAGGGGATCTTTCAGTTACCTGACAAGGTTTAGTGAGGATGATGTATAACAAGATAAGTGTTCCTTCTTAGAATGTTACCTGAGCATACTATTCATGAGAACATTTGTTTAGGTTGTACTAAGTGGCAAAGTCTCTTCTTCATGGGGATGGATTAAGAAAGGAGGCTTTTCTATGAACCCTGCTGGTAATGCCAGCTAGCAAGGCCCTTGAGGCATAACTCTGTTCTGCTTAAGTCTTGACTGCTTTGCCTTTGTGTCTGTTGTCAAATTTCTTATTTTTTCCAATTCCAGAAATAGAAAGCCTACTGACCAGAACCCTGTAGTAAGTTAATAGGAATTCAAATCTTGTTGAATATTATTGTTGAAGAATAGTTTTATACAAATATCTTATTAGGACATTTATTAAATATTCTAGGCTGGATAAAAATAACATTTTGTAACATGTGTATTGCTGTATTAATGTGTATATACATGAACATATGAAAGAACATATCATACAGACACACATCATGGGAGGAACGTCAAAAATCAAAGGCTAGGAAGGAAGCTGGGTGATAGTGGCACACACCTTTTAATCCCAGCACTTGGGAGACAGAGGCAGGCAGATCTCCACGAGTTTGAGGCCATCCTGGTCTACAGAGTTAGTTACAGAACAGCCAGGGCTACACAAAGAAACCCTATCTTGAAAAAAACAAAAAGTGTGTGTGTGTGGGGGGGTTAGCAATGAATTGTAACCTTTCAGATTGTATAGATGTAGGTAAGAGGCTTTGCTTTCTATGATATATTTATGTGTGTGTGCATATGTATGTGCCAATGTATGTGTGAGTGCACATGTACATGTGTGTAGAGGGCAGTATATAGAACCCAAGCTGGCTTTGCACCTTAGATCATCCTGCCTTGGGTTGGGCTGTGGTGGCACACACCTTCAATCCCAACACTAGGGAGGCAGAGGCAGATGGATCTTTGTGAATTCGAGGCCAGCCTCGTCTACAGAGCAAGTTCCACGACAGACTCCAAAGTTACACAAAGTAAACTTGTCTTGAAATGCTTCCCCCACCCCCCAAAAAAAGAAAAGCAAAGAAAATCATGCTTCCTTAACTTCTCAAGTACTGGCTTATAAGTGTGTGCTACATTGTATTATTATATTGTGAATATTATTATTATTTTAGAGATGGGTTATGTAAAAAAATTCTTTCATTTTTTTCCTGTATTATCAAAATGCTAAAATACGTATCTAAATTATAAGAACTAAAATAAAGCATAGTCCAGTAGTGTAATTTGGGAAACATCCTGATATTCACATTTGAAGACGGAAGAAAAATGCAGGTGTGCAGCACTATTTAATCTTAGTGTTCAAGTTTCATTTCCAGACATAAATAACTTTCCTTAAAATGTTCCTTCTGGGGAATTTTCTGATTACATGTGAGAATAAAAAACAGTTGAGGGATCAGTGAGTGTACACGGATACTGTTTTCAAGGGAACAGTCTCAAAGTAGTCCAGATGCTTGTCTTGACATTTCTTCTTCCTTTCCGAATAGCACACCAGAATATAAGGTTCATAATAACAAGGCATAAAACTGTCTTTATATTTTGTCATTTAAGGAGAGCAGGATGAACACCGAGAGCTGCTGGGAAGGAGCAGCACCAGCCCTGGCCTGACCACTTGTGGAAGTCTGGTCTCCATTCTGCCTGATACAAAGGACGTCTGTGGAAGTGCTCAGCCGAGCAAACAGGAATGTGTTGTGTCTCCGAGATTTCCTGTCCACCCCCCTCCTTTTCTTTTCCCCACAGAGATGGATCTTTTGGTGAGAAGACATCTGTGCTTTCTTCTTTCTCTTCAAGACTGAATGTCATGATTTAGGACACACGAATGTAATTTCAAGTTTGACTGCCTGCTGGTTTATTTCATGCACCTGCTTTTAGAGGAAGGAGAGACACGATTTTAAAAGGCCATTTTGAGGCCAGAGATGACATTTGACCTGAGATGTCCCACAGGAACAGGGGAAACAGAAGTACTTATTCATAATGGGTGACTTACACAAGGAAGAACACATTCTCAATTATATTTATATCATCAACACATAGACTTTTTCATAACTTATTATTTTGTAGATTTTTATCCGGTTCACAAAAACCAGTTTCTATTTATAGCTATATATCTGTCTTGATTTATAAGTTAAAGATTTTTTTCGTAAACGTCAGTCTTTAGTGGTTTTTTAAATATTTTGTTTTTAAAATTAGTTATAAACTAAAAAATCTGTAACTGTGATTTTCTAATATTTATTATTCATTTCTAACCAAAATATAATCTAATTAAAATCTTTTTCATAGCTCAATATTAAGTAATCCCCTAAACAGAATTGTTAATAAATTTTGATAAAAGACTAAAACATAATAAATGGAAGATCTAACAAGCCTTAAATCACTTCCTGATATGAATGGGCATGCATCTTAAGTTAGTTACCATGTGCATGTCTTATTTGTTTTAGGAAAATAAATATCAGAAAAGAGAAAAAAAAAATAAAAACAAGCTCAATATAGATGTTAATCAGAAAACCCATCGTTGCTTCTCTTGGTTACTAAGAGCATGGATTTTTCCATCTTTGATGTCGTGAATCAGGGGAGTTCACTTCTAATACTCTGGGGCCAATTTGCCTAAAATAATTAATTTCTTGTACATTGTAAGTTGCTCAAGCATTGCAGGGGGAAATGGCACTGCCAAGCTGTAAACAAAAGAGTGTGCGCTGGCTTTATGGTGATGACCACCCTTGTTAGCACTGATGTGCAACAGATGTCCCCAAAACCTGCACCAGTCGAAGGTGGGAAGAATTCAGTTAACGGTTTGTTTTGTGCTTTCCTTTTAAATTATTTTTCAGCCAAGAAGTAGCCCTGCCCTGCCCTTCCCTTCCCTCCCTCCTTCCCTCCCTCCCTCCCTTCCTCCTTGCCTTCCTTCCTTCCCATTCTTTCGTTCTTTCCTGTATAAAATGTGGCAAAAATAAGAAGTGTTATTATATTGTTGGTGGGCGAGAAATTTTTATTCACTTATTTTAAAATCAGCAATGTTCTCTGCTACTATTAGAGTGAAGTCATCATTTTAACCTAAGTGTTTTGTGCATGTGTGTGTGTGTGTGTGTGTGTATGTGCATGTGTGGTGTGTTTATAAATGTCTGTATAGATGCATATACCCAGTCATATGTGTGCTTTTGTATTCTTTGCCTAATTCTCAATTAACCTAGAGTTAGACTATTAGCTATCAGGCCTCATTGATCCCTGTGCATTCGCCTTCTACAATGCTGGGGTATTAAGTCTACGTGTGGGAATGCCCAACTTTTTATTCTCTGGGAGTTTGAGTTCATGTGCCTGCCCAGCAGGTGCTCTTACCCATTGTACCATCTTCCTGTCCCCCAAATCTATCTTTTAGTCTCTAAGTATTTTTATGCTTGCTTAATGAATTAGTAAGACTTGAGGAAATGAAAATAAAGGTAAGTTATTGATGGAATAATTTCCTTGTTATTCCCAACTTGCTGGGATGTGATCAGATTTGGTGGCAAGTAGGTCATGAAGGAAAGGCAGAAACTATTTCTAGCAAGTCCCTCAGTCGATTTTAATCCTCAAGCAACCAACTTTAGTCTTTTGAGAGTGAATCCTACAGTAAACCTAGAAGGTTTTAGTTACTTTTCTGTTTTGTTAAAGCTGCCGTTTCAGAAAAGCTAGTATGATATTGAGTTTTATCCCATGGAATCTATAAGACAACGGTGATTTAGAGGAGTGGACAGTATTCTGGTATTCATAGTTTCAGCTGAAGGAAGTTGTTGTTCCTTTTGGAAACTACAGCTCCCAGACTCCTCCTGGATTACGAATACCTGTGCACTCGGGCGTGCACAGGTGCAGGTCATTTCTCCCAGATAACCTTGCGCTTCCCCTTAAAAAGCGAGCTTCCACGAGGTCTTGCTCTCTCTTGCCCTTTTACCCTTGTGTGTCTCGCACACCCATCCCTTATCGTGTCCCCCTTCCCCCCATTAAAGTGCACCCACGTGGGAGCCACGTGTCTTGTCTCCTCCTTTTGCGCGTGTCTCCTCTATCCTGTGTTCGTCCACACACCCACCCGCCTTTAAAAGAATAATAGAAGTAAAGATAAGAAAATCTTTAAAGAGAAGTATTGTTTTGTCTCGTGCTGAGAGGGAAGAACAAGCCAAGAATCCACAGAACTGTACAGAATTAAATCTTGCCTACTTTTTGTTCCGCTTTTTCTGGGTAGGAATTCTCCACCTGTCTTTATTGGCTTCAAGCTAGTAACTTTGTATCCTTAGCACAACTTGTCTGTCTGTGTGTGTGTGTGTGTGTGTAGGGACAAGATGCAGCTTTATGTCTACACTAACTCAGTGGAAAATTCTGAGGCTAAGCTCAGATTGCAGTAGGGTTTTGCTTTATTTACAATTTCAATTCCTTTGTACTTCTAATATAGTAACATATTTTTTTAAAAAACTTATTTTGTACTTAATTAAAATATGACATCATATCCCCTTCTATATACACCAGCCAAGACTACTGCAACTTCTGTTTTATAAAGAGCATTCATCTTTGAATCCTAACGGCACTCAAGCATATACGATCCCTAAGGGAAAATTGACTAACATGGCACCTACTTTTTTCTTCTCAAAGTTTTTATTTCTCACTTCTTTTTTTCCTGGTTTATCCTCATACTTTTTCAATGTCAATGACTAAACTTAGCATAAAGAGGAAATTGCAGGAATCTGTTGTGTAAGATGTAAACAACTGGATGAAACCAACCACCTGCTAGGGGGTTGCTCCTTTGAGAGTATCCTTCTGATGTCCTCAGGGGCTTAGTTAGCTGGAACCTCCAGATCTCTACCACCTTGAAACAGATGGAGTTGTATTTTGCATCTCTTGATGGTAAGTCTGAGAGACAGCTGGTTTATCTATTGAACTGAAATCTGATCATCTAAGCTCCTCACAAAAAGAGGAATAAAAGAAAAGCACTCCCATCAAATCAAAAGAAAAAGCTCAGAGCAGACTCCTTTAGGAGGGCCAAGTTTGCCAAGGCCTCCCTATAAAAGTTTACAGTGGAGATAAATAAAAAAGTAATCTGTAGACAAAATCCCACCTGTATCCAAAGAAGAGGACTTCTTCAAAAGGGTTGAAAGACAGACTAAGGATTCTTCAGAGCCAGATGCTGTGACTGAAAGCTCTCCACCAACTCAAGATGATACTAAGTCTCTGATTTATTCAATATCAAAGAATTCTTCCATCCATTCAAAGTCTGGGAGGAATTTTCTCTGGGAGAGATTTTCATGCATCTCCCCAATTCTCTTTATTCTGACATTGTACTCAGAACAAAGATATGTAGAAGATGCTGAAGAAAAAAAAAGGAGAAATAAAACATAGGAAGTTTGAAGAGGCCAGTTATGCCAAAAAATATTATGAAGCATTAGCAAAGTCTAATCAAACCCAAAGAATAGTTGCTGCATGGCTATTATTTGCAAGTTGCAAGGTGAAATCAAGGTGAAAGTGATGTTGACTTGGAATTGACTGCCCAGTGAAGGAGAAAGAGGTGAAAACAAGCAAAGGAAGAACAAGGGTTCTTTGAAGACTAGAGATCAGAATGCAAAGAAGTTAAAGCTCATTTCATGGTCTTTAAATTTCACATAGTGAAAATGTCTTTCTTCCTCTCTCAGTGAGTCAGTCTTTTTGTAATATTTGGCCTGAGAATTCAGTCCCTCTTCACTGACTGTGTCATTTAATAAGTAAGCTGTTGTCCTGCCATTCACTTCTTCCTTTATTTACAAAATAACCTTTTCCACACTTCTTTGGATCAATCATAAAATATATTAGAGAATTCTGGCATGCTTAAAACCTCATTGATTTTGGTGCCTCAATCAAAAGAAATCACAGTTTTTGAAGTAGGTCTTAATTATTTAATGTTTTAGAAGCATGGACTTACTTAATTGACCCAGGCTGATCTTGAATTTCTCCTCTCAGCTCCTGAATGAATCTTCTGCGCAGTTGGCGCTATAGTCATGCATACATCTTATACTAAAGATTGTATTCTGGGTTCTATTAGAAGGCATCAAAAATAGCTCAAAATTATACCTTGTAGATTTTTCAGGGATTAATGTCTTCTGAGAGCTGTTGTATGATGGAGGAGTTACTTTCATTGGTTAATAAAGAATCTGCCTTGGCCCATTTGATAGGCCAGCCCTTAGGTGGGTGGAGTAGCCAGAACAGAATGCTGGGAAGAAGGGAAGTGAGCCAGATGCCATACCTCTCCTCTCTGGTCTGACGCGATGGAGCGAGCCACCAGGTCAGACATGCTGAATCTTTCCCGGTAAGATACCACCTCATGGTGCTACACAGATTATTAGAAATGGGTTAAGCAAGATATGAGAGTTAGCCAAGAAGAGGCTAGATATAATGGGTCAGGCAGTGTTTATATGAATACAGTTTGCGTGTTGTTATTCCGGGTGTAAAGCTAGCTGTGCGGGAGCTAGGCGGGAGAAAAAGCAGGCCTGCCCGCAGCTCCTTCTACAGTTGTACATATTTTTGGAACTTGTACCAGATCTAATATTGCATGGTCTATACTCAGAATGATAGGTGGCATTCATGAGTGCAAAGGAACTGATACAATGGTATCCTAACTTCCCTACTCCAAAGACTTAAGCATGTGTTCCTTCATCACTTTGGAAGCTCTCATAGGTGTAACACAAGGGGACATTGTCTAAGTCATGCAATAATAGCAAAAATAATGTTTAACTACTCCAAAGAAATAATTAAAGTATCCAGGATATAATAATTAAATTCCATGAATGAAAGATGGAAACTTCCTCTTACTGACCTTTAGATCATAATCACTGTTTTTATTCTAATTTTTATTGGCATATTGTTGACTGATATTTCTGTCCCGCACAGTCCCACAGCCATTTAGTCCCAAATAAACACACAGAGATCTACATTAATTATAAACTGATTGGCCTATAGCTCAGGCTTCTTATTAACTCTTATAACTTATATTAGCTAGCCCATTATTCTTGTCCATGTGAGCCATGTAGCTTGGTACCTTTTTTGGTGAGGCAGTCACATCTTTCTTGCTCTATGTCTGGTTCCTTCTGTGTCTCAGTGATGACTGCAGACTGAGCTTTCCTCTTCCCAGAATTCTCCTGTTCTAGTTGCTCCGCCTATACTT